CTGCACTATTTCCAAGTCTGCCTTCATTTAATCCCTTCTCGACAGCAGAGATTCATGTGTTTTGCACCTGTTTCCTGAACTATCTTTTTACTGTTCCCCATCTATTTACTACATCATTCCAATTCCCAACAAGTATCAGATGCCTGCCCCAGTACCTTGCTGGTCCTTTGCACATTTATTGGTACATTCTCATTTCACTGCTTCTCTTCAGCTACTTCCCAACTCAGCTCTCAGTTGTCAATGTCATTGTTTCTTTTGAAAATAAAAATTATTTCAAAAATAATTTTGAGGGACTTCCCTGGAGGTCCTGTGGTTAAGGCTCTGCGTTTCTACTGCAAGGGGCACGGGTTCGATCTTTGGTCGGGGAAGGTCCCGCATGCCACGCAGCGTGGCCAAAATAAATAAATTAAAAAAATAAATACGCTTAAAAAATATCTAAACAACAACAACAACAACAAAATTTGAAAACATTTGACCCTACCCCAAGACAAGGTTAGTTCCCTGTTATGTGCTCTGGTAGCACTGTAGCCCACGTCACAGTTGGGACAGCAGTGTGTGATTTACTCTAAGGGAGCTCAGCTGCCCATGGGTTCATTCAGGTTTGGTATTTTTGTCAGGTGATTGTGAAAGAACGGAGGGATGAGGGAAGTTAGGCTCTTTGCAAGAGTGAGCCCGTTCGAGTTCTCTAGAGGGAATTCCCTGGCGGTCCGGTGGTTAGGATTCTGCACTGCCACTGCAGAGGACATGGGTTCGATACCTGGTTGGGGAACTAAGATCTTGCATGCTGTGGCCAAAAAAAAAAAAAAAAAAAATTGATGTTGCAGTCTTGAAACAGGTTGGAGACTCTGGTAGCGTTTCTAGGGTGCAGTCTTGAGAATTCTGTCTTCTTCTGGAAACCTCAGTCTTTACTCTTAAGGCCTTCAACTGACTGGATGAGGCACACCCACATTACGGAGGGTAATCTGCTTTACTCACAGCCTACTAATTTACACGTTCATCCCAGGTAAAAAAAATACCTTCCGGGAGGGTGGGAGGGAGGGAGACGAAGAGGGAAGAGATATGGGAACATATGTATATGTATAACTGATTCACTTTGTTATAAAGCAGAAACTAACACACCATTGGAAAGCAATTATACCCCAATAAAGGTGTTAAAAAAAAAAAAAACCTTCCAGGCAACGTCTAGACTGGTGTTTGAACAACGTGGCACCAAAGCCTAGCCAAATTGAAACATAAAATTAACCATCACATCTAACATACCATCAGTGGAGCCAAACAAGCAATCTTCAATGATTGAGGTAGAGTGCAAGCACCCACTTGCGTCTCTGTTGTGTAATCATTTTCTGTTTGTCATAGTGCAGTGATAAATTCTGATTCGCTTTGTTATAAAACAGCAACTAACTCACCATTGTAAAGCAATTATACTCCAATAAAGATGTTAAAAAAAAAAGAAATTCTAAAAAGGTTAAAAGCATTGGTTCCTGCCATCCAACAAATTCTCAGCTACATGAGAAGACAATTTCTGCACACAAAAACATAAATTTACATGGCATTTTTTGCAGTTTTCTCTAAAATGTCTGAGTGAGCAGTTTTCTTCTGAGAGGGCTGGATTTTCTTTTTGACCTCTTTATGAAACATGAAGGCAATTTTCCTTAGAGGAGTTGACTACACCCCACTTGAAACCCTAAGAAAGGCATCAGAAACTCAAGTGAGTTAATCATATTAATATGATGAACTTAAGTCTACCTGTCAGAGCAAACTTTGCTAGATTCCAGGGAAGAAATAGAGATAATATCTAAAGTTGGTACAGTAAGAAGTAAATAGTATGAGCTAATTGTTTAAGACATAGAGATTAACAACAGAAAAAATATTTAGATGTGGATGCACTACAGAGGACTGGAGAGGGCAGTGACCTCTTTATTTTCTTCATTTTTAACTATATCCATCTATTATTTTGATAGTCTTTTTTTAGAGGTAGGACCCTGGTATCTTTATTTTTAAACAGACTGTTTTTTAAAGTAGTTTTAGGTTCACAGCAAAATTGAGCAGAAGGTACAGAGTTCCCATATGCCCCCTACCCCCGCATAAAATAATCTCCCCTGTTATTAATATCCCCCCCGGAAGTAGTCCATTTGTTACAGGTGATCATTACACTGACACATCATTATCACCCAAAATTTATAGTTTACATTAGGGTTCATTCTTGGTGTCATACATTCTACAGATTTGGACAAATATATAATGACATGTATCCACCATCACAGTAACATACAAGATAGTTTCACTATCCTAAAAATCCCCTGTGCTTCACCTATTCATCCCTCTCTCCCCACCGCGGAGGCTCCGCGGCATGTGGGATCTTCCCGGACCGGGGCACAAACCCGTGTCCCCTGCATCGGCAGGCGGACTCTCAACCACTGCGCCACCAGGGAAGCCCACCACTGATCTTTTTTATTCTCTCCATAGTTTTGCCTTTTCCAGAATGTCATATAGTTGGAATCATACAGTATGTACTCTTTTCAGATAGGCTTCTTTCACTTAGTAATATCCATTTAAGTTCCCTCCACATCTTTTCATGCCTTGACAGCTCATTTCTTCTCAGACTGAATAATATTCCATTGTCTGGATGTACCGCAGTTTATTCATGTACCTGCTTTATTTTTATTTTTAAAAGTACTCCTCCCCAACACACCTTCCCTATTCTTGCTAGTGTCTCCACAGAACTTGGCACTAATATAGCACTTACTTAGCACTGCATTTCTATTTACTTTATTTGTCCCTCCTACTCAGCCAGCAGTTTTTCCTGGTTCATAAGAGATGGTCTATTTACTGAAATGCCTGAACCAGAGAAATAAGATATGACTAGCTAGTGCCAAGAATGGATCCTGGATGTGACTGTCACTGTGCTGTTCACTATAATGCGGTACCTGAAAGTCACTATTTAGAAAAAGTACACACACATATTTAAATGTACTCATTATATATATTTGTCACCAACGCATCACAAGGAAGTCACAAAAAGTAGGGTTAGTTTAGTTCACAATATAGATCCTGTGAAAACACATTTCTCATTTGCTCTGCAGTTTACAATACCTATAAAAATTTAAAGCAGTTAAACAACATTTGAGATTACACTGGTATAAAATTGTAATTCACACTTCAGAAACTTGTGAAATAAAAGGCCATGATGGAGAAAGAGTAAGAAATTTGTAGAATTACCAAACTGTCACAGTACCATTTTCCTTTATAAAAGCATCTCAATAAAACAAAATAAAAACTATGGAAAACACAAAAGTCATATCAGAGATTTTGGTTTAGTACTTTCCCTGAGTCTCTTGTTTTTAAAAAAATCAAAGTAAGGCTGGTTCAAAACTGACCCATAAGGTCTTGCCTCCTCCATATGCTGCCATGAGGAATACATTTAAGGCAAGAGGCTATACACACAAATGGTCCCAGGGCTTTATTCAGATGCCAGTTTGCTTGTGGTACCACCACAAGGTTATCTGACCCACTGCTGCCCGCTGCACATGGGCTTAAAGAGCTGTCAACGTTTTCTCTTGGCCTGCCATGATACAACACATGAGACTAAATACCAAATGAAGACAAAAGATTATGGTTATTAATAAATATTACAATTCTAGGTGGATTTGGACACTATGTACACCAAATCATGGTAATAACACAGAAACAAACACTTTTATGTTTTAAAAATCTTACTTAAACAAGGGTTGAGGGCAAGTCATTTTAAAGTTTTAAATCTCAGATGTTAAAAAACAAACAAACAAAAACCTTAAAAAAATCTAATTCATTAGATCCCAATAAAACAAAGTAGAAAAAGTGATAACATTGATGCTCGGAATTAGATGAGCATGCTAACTGAAAAAAGTTGTTGTCTCCTTGTTCCATAAAATTGGCCCCTACAATGTTTCTACTTGATCATCTCATTGCATACACAGTATATTTGCAAGTGATCAAGCACTTCATTAAAAAAGCATACAATCAAATTAAGGATGAAAGGTTTGTTAGAATCTAAAAAATTATTTTTTACTTCAAATGTACCAGGTTACTTGCTGGGCTTCTACTATAAGGGCACTAAGTAGTATGGATCATACTTTCTAGTCAAATGTAGGAAAATATTTTGCACAGCCATGTTTTTACAGTCATTCTCAGAGCATCTCAAAGATAGGTTGCAAATTGCTGCTGTATGTCTCCCTCTTGAAATCTCAATTGCAGACCAACTGCCAACATTTCAAAAGCTAATAATCATGCACTGTCTTAAAACTGAGGGGTGGAATGATGGCTCTAACCACCAAAATAACTGCTGCAAGTTATTTAATTTAGTAATATAAGCACCTCATTGCACAGGTGGGGAAAGTGAGGCACAAAAAGGTGTTTCTTCTGTATTTTGTTTTTTTTTAAAGAGAACTCTTGATGCTAGGTAACTTTGGGGTATAATGGATTCAAGGTTTGCATGAAATGTTATACTTAACTCACATGTCCTGTTTGCATCACAACACCTTAGTCTATCCTCTTGCAAACTCTTTAAAGCATGGACCTGGCAAATGCCACTGACCACCTGCCTTCTCTGACCAGGTGAAAAAGGCTAGCCAATGCTTGAGCGAAAAAAAAGAATACCACATATTGTTGTATTATATGTAATTAGCAAGGTTCAATTATGAAAATATTCCATAACTGAATTTCCATAACTCTCAAACATTCCACAAAATTCTCTAAGAACCTGTGGGAGAGTAGAGTACCTGGCAATCCTCTCTTAAACAGAAATTTACTGATTCGTTGCATTACTGTTGATGATCTGAAGTTAAATGTATACGATATCTAAAAATAAAAGTACTAAACTACTAAATAAAACTGAAAGGATCATCCAAGTTCCTAGATAATACCAAAATATTTATCTAGGATTACTAAAGAAATCATAGCACTTTGGTACCCTTTTCAGAAAAAAATCTCAAAACTTATAACACAAGCATGTGGCATTTCACACTGTACCGAGTAACAGTAAATGGAGGTGTAACCACTATAACTTCTCCACTAACTTTTTGTTTTGAAACATCGTGTCTGCTCCTAGAAGCTACCATTCCAGTTCCACAGGGTATTTTCCAGTCAGACAAGCTGTACAATGATCATTCTTTTCAAAACATTCCAGACCATTCCCATTTTCTTGAACCATAACATCTTCCTTTGTACAATGACCATTCTTTTCAAAACATTCCAGACCATTCCCATTTTCTTGAACCATAATATCTTGCCTTTTCACTTTCTGTTTTTTAAATGTTATCCCTTCTTGTACAGATGAAACCAGTCCTTCTACTGATAGATACACAACACTGTTTGCTCCTACGGGGGAAAGACAGGGAAAAAGGTCATGAGACTTCCTTTGGAAAGGAAGAATTACCTTAACAGAGAATAGTTACAAACAGAAAAACATAAGCCAAAATAAAAATTTCTCCTTTAGCCCCTGTCTCTCTCTTTTTTTTTTTTTTAAATTTTTTAAAATTTATTTATTGGCTGCGTGGCTTGTGGGATCTTAGTTCCCTGACCAGGGACTGAACCCAGGCCCTCGGCAGTGAGAGCTGGAGTCCTAACCACTGGACCACCAGGGAATTTTCTCCATTAGCCTCTCTTAAAAAAAAAAGGCGGGGCGGGGTGGGGGGCGGTGGTGGTGGTGGTGGCGGCTGGAGAATCAGTAAAACTCAGGGCCTTTATTATTATTTTTTTATTTTAAATTGGAATTTAAGGGATAATTTAAAATAGCAGTGGAGGATTTAAGTCTAGAATGGCTTCAGAAGGCTTTAGGAGTCATTTTCTTGAATAACAGATCTTGAAGTCAGGAAGATCTGGGTTCAAATTTAAGCTCAAGGTCACTTACTTTTCCTAAGACTTTTTTTTTCAGCTATCAGATAAGGGAAATATTGCCTAATTGTAGCAGTTTTGTGATGTTATTATGATAATATAGATATGTTCCTGGCAAAGAGTGAGTGCTCACAATGTATCAGTTGGGTGACATTCAAAGTATTTAACTGGAGGGCTTCCCTGGTGGCGCAGTGGTTGGGAGTCCGCCTGCCGATGCTGGGGACACGGGTTCGTGCCCCAGTCCGCGAAGATCCCACACGCCGCGGAGCGGCTGGGCCCGTGAGCCATGGTCGCTGAGCCTGCGCGTCCGGCCTGTGCTCCGCAGCGGGAGAGGCCACAACAGTGAGAGGCCCATGTACCAAACAAACAAACAAAAATTTAACTGGGGACTTCCCTGGTGGCACAGTGGTTAAGAATCCGCCTGCCAATGCAGGGGACACGGGTTCAAGCCCTGGTCCGGGAAGATCCCACATGCCATGGAGCAACTAAGCTCGTGCGCCACAACTACTGAAGCCCGTGCGCCTAGAGCCCGTGCTCTGCAACAAGAGAAGCCACCGCAATGAGAAGCCCACGCACCGCAACGAAGAGTAGCCCCTGCTTGCCTCAGCTAAAGAAAAGCCCGCACACAGCAACGAAGACCCAACGCAGCCAAAAATAAAATATAAATAAATAAATAAATTTACAAAAAAAAAATTTGACTGATAAGGTACAGGCATGACCAGTCAAGAGAAACAACAGCTGTAAACAATCAGTGTGGAGGTACCATACATGGGTGAACATGTATGTGATATTTATGGTTTATACCTCACCTGAATTTGAAAGGCAAATGTCTTATCAAGGATAACCTCCATCTCCAAGACTTTTGACCTCATTATTAAAGATAAGCCTATATAAGCTTTTCACCTTTTGATTTGTACTCACATCCAAATTATTCTATTAGAATCTGTGGTGAAATTACTTTTGTTTTTCTTCTGATCTGACCTTTGGGAGGCTTTAACTGATTAGCAGTTTTCTCTACTCGGAAAGCCTTTCTTTCTTCTTCTCTGATCTCACCTTAGCCTAGCTCTCCATCACAGCACTCACTATGGTGTCCACACACATCAGGCTCTTTCACTATTCATCTGCTCAACAGATACAACATTTTCTTTCAATAAATACTGAACACTATTTTTTATTAAAAGTGTAAAGATTGACAAGCTTGGATTTTCTGTTAATAAATGAATAAAGATAAAAGTTTATAGAAATTGTAATACCTACCTAGATGATCTGAGATATGCTCAAATTCTGGTTTATTGGCAATAAGCTCTTCTTTTGTTGGTATGTTTATTCCCATGAAGCATGGATATCTAATTGGTGGTGAAGCTACTCGAATGTGTACCTTGGAAAGAAATCATTTCACACATTCATTAGTTTGACATTCACTGTAAGAACAATTATGCAAAATTCTGTCATTGATAAATACAACATAAAATTGTTTTACATACTTTAACAACATACGGGTAATAAAGCATACTAAAAAATTTCTTTCACTATAATAGGTGGAAAAGAATCCTAGAAAATCATGTGATATACATAGAGAACTCCAGTGTTCAGTCAGAACTACTTTTAGAATTAATTCATTACCAAGAATCCTACTTGAGCAGCCCTGTCCTAGACTCTGAAGTGTCCTGAATAAGAATTTCAAAATGTTAGCCACTTGTAAAGGGTTCTTTTTACAGAGATACCCATTGTTTCCTTCTGTCACCTACTAACAAGGACATTTCTTTCTTCTGATCTGTCATTTTTCATTTATTATATTCCTAGGACCACCTTCATTTTTTTCCCTCTAACACTTGAATGGCACTTTTGCATACCTCTTATTTTACCTTTTTAAAAAGAAAAATAACATCTATCAGGATATAATAAAAACCTTACTACTACTACAAAGAGCTATGTTTGTCTATTTTTTTATCTATCATTATTTTCTGCCTTTTGTCAGGAACATTTACACAGCTGTAATCAGTGTCCACATTTACTTTTTACCTTTCTTGTAACAGCAAAGATTTTCCCATGTTTTGCAGTCTTCATAATTATAGTTTTTAATGGTTGCATTGTATTTCATCATACTGATGTATCAATTTACTAAATTATTTCCTGCTGGTAGATATATGAGCTATTTCCAGTTCTTCTGTTTGTTTATTTGTGTCTATTCTTTTTTACTATTGTAATGCTTTCTAAATAGACTGTCATACTGCTTTCTACACCATTTTCTCCACAATAGATTTTATTTCTAAATCTGATCAACTATTAGCTGTAAATGACATCTCACTTCAGTAATTCGAATTACTGAACTATTTAGTTAGAATAAGCTTTGAGATTTGAAAATATAACCTAATGTGTCAAATTTATTACACTAGGATTGCTTCCATATCTTCACAAAGAAAAAGTAATCAATACTCTACAAATTTAAAAGTATTCTATTTTGTGGTTTGTTAGTTATAAAATTAGGTTTATAAAACTTTTAACATAAAATTTTCATGACTATCATATTGTAATTATTGGTGTTTTAGGATAGGTGTTTTAATATTACTTACCTCTTTTGCACCAGATTCTTTGAGCAATTTGATTATGGGTGAAATGGTATTGCCTCTCACAATTGAATCATCTACAAGAACAATTCTTTTGCCTTTAAAGTTCTCCGACAATACTCCAAATTTTTTCGCAACACCAAGTTGTCTTAACCTCATGTTTGGCTGAATGAATGTTCTTCCTACATACCGGTTTTTACATAGCACCTCCACATACGGAAGCTCACACTGACAGAGAAGGAATAAAAGTACAATGAACAGCACATATACAGAGAACTCTAGGGTTCTGTTTTCTCTAGGTCATGCTTCCGTTATAACATCTACGTAAAAAATTTTAAATGTGGTTGTTATTCTGAGCTCTCCATCATCAGATTATAATTTTCCTTCACTATTTAAACTGTAGGGAAGAAAAGGCAAAAAGAAAAATTATTGAAAGTCCTCTACTTAGTAGGAAAAACAACTCATTTTGCTAGAATTTGTAATGCTTCTTTCTTAAACACATATTATTTCTCTATCTTGGAAAAGAACACCAAGAATGTGAACACATGACAAAGAATAAATCACTGTCAGAAAAATTCACATATTTAAAAATTGTCAGCAGGA